GAATGAGGAATCCTCTATGTTGTGGCACCGGAGATTAGGACACATCTCCATTAAGAGAATTAAAAGATTGGTAAATGAAGGGGTACTTAGTACTTTGGATTTTGCTGACTTTGAGACTTGTATAGATTGCATAAAGGGTAAGCAAACTAATAAGTCTAAAAAGGGTGCTAAGAGGAGCACAAACCTATTGAAGATTATACATACAGATATTTGTTGTCCAGACATGGATATAGTTAGTCCAAAATACTTTGTCACCTTCATAGATGATTATTCACGATATATGTATCTCTACTTACTTCGTTCTAAGGACGAAGCTTTGGATGCCTTTAAAATCTTTAAGGCTGAAGTAGAGAATCAATGTGGAAAACAAATTAAAATCGTTTGGCTCACTTACACCCCTAATATTCTCCATTTCCACTATTGTGGAAGGCCTTCTGCATGTAATGTCTTTTGTTTCATCATTTTTTTGCTTACAACACTTGAAATATATGTGCATAAGTGGTATTAATTCCAATCAAACAAGAATCTCTTATTCTATTAATTATTCCCATTAATAATATCAGCTAAAGTTATAAATTAGAATCGGCCTAATTTTTTATAAGCAATGATATGTCATTGATCAATTATTTCTAATTTCATATTTATGTTTGATGGTATATAAAAAGGGAACTAAAATAAAGTAATCTATTAAGTCATAAAAATTAGTATGATATCAAGAAATATAAATTGTTATGATAATAAAAATCTCAGGAATCTTTTGATATGATATGAAAGATTTGGGTGATAAATATGTAAAAAGTAAAGTTTAGGTGTTAGACGTATAACTACATAGAAATTGTGTGGTAGGCATTTAAATGACCTTTTTTTAATCTAATTACCTGCCATCACATAACGAAAGAATATGGGATTTTCAATTGATATATATTCCTATCATTTTTTTTGGAAGATCTACATTTATACCACTCAATTTCATAAGTTTTTTTGTATATCTAACCCTTATACTTCACCTTTTACATAAATAGGACCTTACTTATACATGAAAAGATTAGTTTTACTTTTTAAAAATTAAAATGGCGCTACTTTGATGTGATTTGAAATTTGGTTGGTATAAATGTAAAATGAAAAGAATTAGGTGTAAGGTAAGTAAATACTTATATCAAGTACTATTAGACGTTAATGCAAGATATAAGTGAAGATTTAATAGATTAAGGTGATAATAAGCAACATAATAGGCTACACAAGAATAAGCAACAATTAAATTTATTTAATAGTTTAATACTTAATTAAAATAATTAACATTCTTCACTTTGATTCAATATTAGACAAGCAAAGCCCTTCTTTCTCTTAGCACTTCCTTAACTAGGAAGTCTACTTACCCAAAGCAAAGTCGGGTGATACTGAAATTTAGTTGCATGAACAAGCAAATCCCCTCTTTCTCCAATTAAAATTACACTGTGATTATTATAGCTATCCTAAGAATATATATGGTCTGGCTCAAATCTTTTATCTAAAATTTACTATTAATTAAAATTTTTAAATTTGTTATCACTTCACCGTTGTCAATAGATATTAGCATGTCATCAATATATAAAACCAATATATAACACAAATCTAGAAGAACTATTTATAGTAAACACGCATATCATAAACACTCCTTTTCTATTGTGAATAAATAAAATTTCTTGTACCATTGTTGTGAAGATTTTTTACAAGGTCAAACTGTGTTTCCTGATCAAATCTATCCATCTTGCTAGCTTATGTAGATAACCTCCTCAAGTTCTCCGTGTAGGAAAGCTATTTTTTAATCCATTTGTTCGAGCTTTAGATCAAGAGATAAAATAACTCTGATCAAAGTCTGCTTTAGAGTAGATGAGAAAATCTCATTGAAATATGCTTCTTCATTCCAAGTGATTCCCTTTGCCACTAATTAAGTCTTACATCTGTTGTCCTCAACGTCTAAAATAGCATCTTCTCACTTTCATATCCATTTGCACTCCACTATCAATTTATTTTTTTGTTTTTTAACAAGTTCCCAAGTAAAATTATTTTCTAATCATCCATCGTCTATTTTCAGGATTTTGTTTCGTCATTGTCCATTACTTGAGAAAGGGTAGTGAAGGCGGCTTAAATATTTTGCAAACCGCACAACCATTGCATCGTTTAGGAAAGAAATGCCCTCTTTGATTTTAAGCCAAGTCAACCTGTTCCTTACATCATTATTTCGAATTGAAGTATGGGACCAATCATCTTATCAAGCTTTTTTTAGGTAGAATCTCTTTTAGGGGTGTGAACGAGTCGAGGCGAGCTAGAGTCATGCCTAACTTGAACTTGGCTCATCTATCAAAATGCAAGCTCGAGCTTAGCTCGCAATGATGACAACAAGCTAAAATTTTGAAAAGGTGGTATCGATAAGCTCGACTCACAAGCTCGTCAGCGAGCCAAACTTGAGCCACTCGCGAGCTACCTTGGCTCACTTAAACATCTAACGTCATTCATTTCCAATGTTGTGGAAGGCCTTTGGAATGTAATGTCTTTTGTTCCATCAGTTTTTTGCTTACAACATTTGAAGTATTTGTGTGTAAGTGGCATTAATTCCAATCAAACAAGAATCTCTTATTCTATTAATTCCTCACAAAGTTGAGTCATCTTGGCCTCTCTTATTTGTGGTTTATCAAAGAAGTCACACCTTACCTTAAAAACTTGACAAATCTTCACTGTCTTGACATTAACATGAATGAACTTGTGCTATCATATTATGGAGTGTACTGGAGATCATATTGTCCAAGTGGTTTTGGGCAATCATTTACTTCCAGTTGCTTTATAATATTATAGATAATATTTATGTATTTGTCAATAAATCAAGAACATGATTAGATGGTGATAATTTATGTAGTTTAGTTCTTCCAAAAGTGTTGTGTGATTCCAATATTATATTATAAATAAATTATATGCAATTCATCAAATAAAAGACACCAAATTAAATTCTTTTTTTTTTATAAGCACGTTTTTATGTTATTAATTCATATAGAAACTGTTATTAGTTTTCATAGTCTATGATTAAATAAACACTTCGAAGCTAAGCCAGGTTGGATAAAAATATTAATGCAGACGACACAATTACTAAGTATTTGCATTTATAACACTTAAATAATATATATATTATTTATATAATAATATTATATATATATATATATATAAGTTTAAAGCATAAGAATTTATACGGTAATATGGTTATGTGTCTTTTTGTTGCATAGATTTGATATGGGTTCGAATCCAACACTCCATCTAATTTTTTTAATTAAATTTAACGAGTCAATTTCAAGCCGAACACGAGCAAGAATTTATAAGTCATGTCGAACACGAACACATTGTTCATGAGTCACAAACAATTTCTGATGAGCCGAACAGGAGCCAAGCCTAAGTTTGCTCAAGCTTGACTCGTTTACAGCCCTAATTGAATGGGTGAAGCATAATGATCCATTGGGACTCAAAATTAATTTTATTGATGGCTCTATTTACTATTATAATAAAAGTTTTTTTGGGTCATAATCAATGCATTAAGTCAGTCTAAGTTAGGGTGTAACAGAGTCAAGTACACTCATGCATCAACTCAAGTTCAGCTTGATTAGAAGCCAAGTTCGATGAGCTAAAAGGCCTAGCTTAAGAAAAACCTACTCGACTCATTAGCTCGTGATTCGGCTCATGTTTTTTTTTAATATTAAAATAAAATACATTAAAAATATATTAAAATTTAATATTTGGATTCGTCATAGCAATGCTAATATTAATCTCATTAAATAATTAATAATTAGTTTATTTATGTAAATTTTGTTGGAAAGACTCACGCCCGATGAAGTCCAAGTCCAGGCCACAACTTCGTCATTAATTTAGTAAGTCAGTCAATGCGACAAGTCAATTAACCATGATGTTATAACTCATTATATATTTAGCTTACGTATTGTATGAGTGAAGCTTAATAATCGATTGGGACTTGAAATTAATTTTATGGATAGCCTATTCACTATTATTAAAAAAGTCTTTTGGGTCATAATCAATGCATTAAGTCAGTCTAAGTTAGGGTGTAACAAAGTCAAGTCGGCTCATGAGTCTACTCGAGTTTAACTTGATTAGAAGCCAAGTTCGATGAGCTAAAAGGCCTAGGTTAACAAGGCCCTACGCGACTCATTAGCTTGTGATTTAGTTCATGTTTTTTTTTAATATTAAAATAAAATACATTAAATTTATTTTGAATTTTAATATTTGGATCCTGAATGCTAATATTAACCTCATTAAAGTAAAATAATAATTAGTTTATTTATGAAAGTTTTGTTGAAATGTCTCGCCCGACGAAATTCAAGTCTAGGCCACACCTTCATTATCAATGCAGTAAGTCAGTCAATGCAGCAAGTCGGTCAACCATGATGGCCATGAATCTTTTGCCATTTACACAAAATATATTAAATTAATAATTGTAAGTGAAATTTACCTATATAACCCCCAACTTTTATGAATTTATATATCTAACACTTACAACTTTATATTTACATTTAAATCACTTTGGTGCTATAGATTTATGCATACAAATATGCATCCTATCATTTTTAAGAAGTTAGTAAGAATCTTATCTTTAATATAATGTTAAATATTAAAGTTTAGGTGTTACATATGTAAATAAATAAGAATTCCAGAACATCAGTACTGTGGGAATGAATAGATTCCTTCTTTTGGATAGCCAGGCTAATATTATATTTATTTTATATATTTTTATTGAACGATGGGAATGAATTCCTTAACATCCGTACTGTGGGCATTGATTGAATTTAAATATTATTTAAATAATGTAATAATAATTCATTAATTCAACTAAATAAACTTATTACTAATTACTCATAAAGAAAAATGACTATATTACGAGTATAGGAGAGAATTTTGGAGATAAATTTCACCTAATGTGCTATAAATAGGGATAGAGCGAGAGAGCCTGAATTACACCAGCTCTGATGGAAAGAGTTCAGTTTTCTCTATTGCTAATCTTTACCCTTTCGTTCTATTGCTTGAGAGCTGAAAGCGAAGATGGCTTAGCTATTCACAAGGTGAAACAACGTTGTAATGCTGAGGAAAAAGATGCCCTTCTTGATTTTAAGCAAAGTCTATCTGATCCTCACATCGTTCTCTCGAGTTGGGATACCGACGAGGATTGTTGCACGTGGAAGGGAGTGAGTTGTAGTAATAAAACAAATCATGTCATCAAACTCGATTTATCTGTTTTTTCAGAAACTTTATATGCCGCATCATTACATCCGTCTTTTTTTCGCTTACGACACATGCAATATTTGTGCTTGAGTAACATTCACTTCAATCAAACGAGGATCCCTCATTCTATTGGTTCCCTCACTAAATTGAGCCATCTTGATCTCTCCTATTCGGGGTTCGTCGGAGAAATTCCACCTCATATTGGAAACTTGACAAAACTTAGATACCTTGATCTTAGTTATAATTCTCTAGTTGCTTATAACCTCTTATGGATGTCACACCTCTTCTCTTTACAACACATTGATATGTCGAAGGTGAATCTAACATTTGCTACGAATTGGTTACATGAGATTAGTGTGCTTCCAGCTCTTTCTACTTTGTATTTGTCATCATGTAACCTACAAACACTTCCGAATTTACTTCCATTTTCTAATTTTTCATCAACTATTGAAAGATTTGCCCTTGTTTATAACCATCTCAATGGAATTTTGCCAAACTGGTTAGGACAACTCAAGAGATTAAAGGAATTATATCTCGATTTGAACTATTTTACTGGACCTATCTCATTTGCCTCTTCAAGCTTATTATGTGATCTCAATGTCTTGAGCCTTAGCTATAATAATTTTACAAAATTAAGTAATGATGAAACTGCTTTAAAATGCAAAGAATATAAAATGACCAAAATTGATTTCTCCAATAACCAACTGAACGGTAGCATACCTGAATGGTTTGGAAATATGAGAAATTTAACAGACCTTTTTCTTGGAAATAATCAGTTTGATGGACTTATTCCACACAGCCTTGGACAACTAACTAATTTAGCTACTTTGGATCTTGGTTCTAATAATTTGCATGATAATATCTCTGAGTTTCATTTTGCAAGCCTATCACAATTGAGATACCTAGATCTTTCACATAATAAATTGAGTTTTAGCATGATTAGTCTTAATTGGACTCCAGTATTTCAAATTTATCAACTTCACCTAAGTTCTTGTCTCGTTGGTCCTCAATTCCCACTATGGCTTCAAAATCAAAAGCTCATTTCCTTATTAGACCTCTCCAATTGTGGCATTTCTGATATCATTCCGAGTTGGTTTTGGAATATTTCATCTCAAATAAAGTACTTGAACATGTCTCAAAATGCAATAAGAGGTGAACTACCAATATCAATGAATATTGCATTAGAGGCAAATATCGACTTAAGATCGAATCTTTTGGAAGGGCGTCTTCCTCGGCTAAAGAATTTTGTACGTTGTGTATCATTTTCGAATAATAAGTTCTCAAGCGGGATTGAGTTATATGTAAATGGGAACATGAGTGTTGGTTGTGCTCGACCTTTCTCAAAATCATCTCTCATGTGAAATCCCTAATTCTATATGTCAAATGCCTTCAATAATTTTTCTCGACTTATCACATAACAATCTTTACGGAGAAATTCCAAATTGCAATGGTAATGCTTCAAGCTATGAGATGTTAAAGTTTCTCAGCATGTCATATAACAACTTAAATGGTTCTATTCCACAATGGATAGGGAACCTACCAACGTTATTTTCATTGCACCTCAACGACAATGTTTTTCAAGGGGAGATGCCATTTTTAAAAAATTGCAGCAAGCTTATTACCCTTGACTTGGGAGAAAATTATCTTACAGGAAGCGTACCTTCATGGATTGGAGAAAAATTGTTGTCCTTAAAGATCTTACGCTTGCACTCAAATAAATTCCATGGCTCAATTCCCATGGAGCTATCCAAACTAAAAAAACTACAAATCTTGGATCTTGCACAAAATTTTTTTTCTGGGTTAATCCCAAAATCTTTTAAATTTCTCAATTCAATGGCCATCCAAAATAAGAGGCTTGAACCTCTAATTCCTGATGATTATATTATATTTTCATATCAGAGGCCTGATTTTTCGATTTCCCTGAAACTTTTCAACCTTCCAGACATACTTTTACCTGATTCAATATCGATCGATTATAAAGGAATAGTTCGTGAATTCAAAGGCATACTCTCTCTCGTGAACATTATAGATCTTTCTTGTAATAAGCTCACTGGTGAAGTTCCTATTGAATTATTGAGCCTTGTTGGATTGATGAGCTTGAATTTATCGAGAAACCAACTCACGGGAGAGATACCAAAAAAAATTGGTGTAATGCAAAGCTTAGAAAGTTTGGATCTCTCAAGAAACCATTTCTTAGGAGAAATTCCAAAAAGCATTGTGATGCTCAGTGCATTGAATTATCTCAACTTATCCTACAATCAATTGTTTGGTAGAATCCCGACGGGGACCCAACTTGACACTTTTCAAGAATCAAGTTACTACGGAAATCCAAAACTCTGTGGAAAACCACTACATAAAACTTGCGAAAGTGATGAACATAAAATACATGACGAAGGAGGCAATTCTCAGGATGATGATGATTTTAGTTTGTTCCTCGGTGTGGGACTTGGTTTTGTTGTTGGACTATGGAGTGTATTGGGGACCTTATTGCTCAAGAGGACTTGGGCGACTACTTACTTCCAATTCCTTGACAAAATGATAAATAATTTTTATGTATTTGTCAACATGAAATTGAATCAGTGGTTTAATCAATAAATAACATAGTTAAATGATGATCTTTTATGTATTCGAGTTTTTTCATAAGTGTTGTTTGTGATCCCAATGTTTATTATACTGTTTTTTATGTGTAATGATATGTCATAATAGCTGGATGTTAGGATGGTATATAAAAAGGTTGATAAACTAAGAAAAGATATTGTATCAAGTCTTAAAAATTTGATTGATATCAAGAAATATAAAACGTTATGATAATTAAAATCTCATGAATCTTTTGATATGATATAACTACGTAGAAATAGAATGTATATACAAATGTATGTATCTCCCCACATAAATGATTAAAAATATAATATTATACTGATGAAAGAATTAGAAATTTCATCGAATGGTTGCGTGTGCAGTCGGCTTAATAATTGTATTAAGCCGACTGTGAAATGGCTCGATTAATGCAAGGCTAATATTAATCTCATTAATTAATTAATATTTATATAAGTTTGGTTGGAAAAACTGACGCCTGATGAAGTTCAAGTCAAGGCCACACCTTCGTTATCAATGCAGTAAGTCAGCCAACAATAACTCTTGTGGTCTCCAGTCAGGTATGATTGTTATGGCTGATTATAATGGAAATTTACTTGTGTACCACACAATTTCTATGAATTTATATATCTAACACTTACAACTTGATACTTACATTCAAAACACTTTGGTGCTATGCATTTATGCATACAAATACAAATAGGCATCCCATCATTTTTAAGAAGTTAGTAAGTATGATATTTTTAATGTAATCTTAAATATTAAAGTTGATGTGTTGGATATGTAAATAATAAAAAATTGCGTGGCATGTATGTAAATGCCCCTTTTTTTTTTCAAATATTGCTGATAGAGACTTATTTTAATTGAATTGAAATTAAGATTAAACTATTAGGTATTTTAGGAGTCATAAAGCATATTTATACTCTTCTATTATATATTCATATCAAGCATTATGTTTCCTGTAATTTTCTACTAAAATATCATGCAAATATTTTATCTCATTAATAAATTTAATGTACAACAATTATTTTAACATAATCATTCTATCATATTTATATTTTAAAAGAATAATCTTTATATTTTAACAGAGCATATATTCCTTAACAGAGGCTAATATTAGATTTATTTTCTGTATTTTTATTGAATGATGGGAGTGAATTCAGACTACAAGTTTCAAACAACCACCGCATTTTAATATTAGTGCAGTAGCTACTAGCAAACTGCACCAACATTGTAGCATTGAGGAAAGGAATGCCCTCCTTGGTTTTAAGCAAAGTTTATTTGATCCCGGCTCGTTCTCTCAACTTGGGAGATATGTGAAGATTGTTGTACATGGCAGGGTGTGAGTTGCAGCAATACAACCAATGATGTCATCAAGCTTGATTTGACTAAGGAAAGCCTCTTAAATGTCACATCTTTAGTTCTGTCACTTTTTATCTTACAACACTTACAATATTTGAGCCTTTCTGTCACTTTTTCTCTTAAAACACTCACAATATTTGAGCCTTCAATCAAGCAAGCATACCTCATTCTGTTGGTTCCCTCACTGAATTGAGATATCTTGATCTCTCCAATTCATGGTTTGCCGGAGTGATCCAACCTCAACTCGGAAACTTGACAAATCTTTGATTCCTTGATTTTAGTTGGAATTATTTGGTTGCTCATAACCTTGCATGGATGTCATGCCCTCCTCTTTATATTTTTTCGATATGTTTGAGGTGAATCTAACATCTGTTGCGAATTGTTTACATGAGATTAAGGTGCTTCCATCTCTCTCTTTTTTATATTTATCATCTTGCAGCCTACAAACACTTCCAACTTCACACCCATACTCTAACTTTTCATCGACCATCAACACATTTGATCTTTCTTTTAACAATCTCAATGGGAATTTGCCAAACTAGATAGGACAATTTAAAAGCATAAAGATATTAGACCTCCAATTAAACAATTTCAATGGACGTATTTCATTGTCCTCTTTGAACTCATTATGTGTTCTCAGTGTTTTGTACCTTAATGATAGCAATTTTACAGAATTAATTGATGATGGAAGTGTTTTAAAATGCAAAGAATATAACATGGCATTCTTGGATACCTCATACAACCAACTAAGCGAAAGCATACGTAAATGGGTTGGAAAGATGAGAAATTTAAGAAATCTTAATCTTAGAAAAAATAAACTTAATGGATCTATTCCACATAGCCTTGGCCAACTCATAAACTTGGTTTATTTGGATCTTCATTCCAACCGTTTGCATGGTAGTCTCTCAAACATTAATTTTGCAAATCTATCACAATTGAATTTCTTATCTCTTGCAGACAACGACTTGGATTTTAACATGATTAGCTTTAATTGCATTCCCCCATTTCAAATTTCATTTCTTTCCATAAGTTCTTGCCTGGTAGGACCTCAATTCCCAGTATGGCTTTGAAATCAGAAGTTCCTTTCACATTTAGACCTCTCCAATTAAGGCCCTTCAGATATCATTCCAAGTTGGTTTTGGAGTATTTCTTCTAAAATAAAGTACTTAAACCTATCTCAAAATGAACATAGAGGTAAACTTCCCACGTCTCTCGATATTGAATTGGTTACTATCAACCTGAAACCAAATTCTCAAGTGGGTTTGAGTCGTATCTAAAAGCAGACATGGATTTCTTGTCGATGCTTGACCTATAACAAAATCATCTCTCAAGTGAAATTCTGTATTCAATATATTAGCTTTGCATATAACAACTTATGGGGTTCAATTCCACATTGGATAGGGAAGCTACCAATTTTATTATCTTTCCAAAGGAGGTACCATTTCTAAAAAATTGCTGCAAGCTTGTTATAGTTGATTTGGGAAAAAATTATCTTACAAAAACGTACCTTCATGGATTGGACATAGGTTATTATCCCAAAAAATCTTACACTTACGAATCAAACAAATTTTTTGAATCAATTCTTTCAGAGCTATCCAAACTAAAAGAACTTCAAATCTTAGATATTGCAGATAATTTTCTTTCGGGGCCGATTCCAAAATCTTGTAAGCTTCTCAGTTTAATGATCATACAAAAAAAGAGGCTTGAACCTCTAATTCCCAATGGCTGTGTTATTATTCTGAACAAGGGGCAAGGAAGTTTATTTTGGGAGTTTGTTAAAAAATATTTTCATGTGTCTTGGTCAGATGCATTAATGATTAATATAAAATGAAAAGATTGTGAATTCATGGACATAATCTCTCTTGTGAACATTACAGATCTTTCTAGTAATAATCTCATTGGAGAGATTCCTATTGAATTAATGAGCCTAGTTGGATTGATAAGCTCAAATTTATCCAGAATGATTTCATGGGACAGATCCTTATCAATATTTGTGATATGCAAAGCTTAGAGAGTTTGGATCTATCGAGGAACCATTTCTTAGGAGAAATTTCAGAGAGCATTGTGAAGCTAAGTGAGTTGAATTATTTCAACTTATCCTACAATCAATTGTCAGGTAGAATCCCGAGAGGGACCCAACTTGACACATTCAAAGAGTCAAGTTGTTATGGAAATTCTGAATTCTACATAATGCCACTTTTCAAGACTTGCAAAGATGAAGAACATTAATATATTTCGATTGTATATTAATTATTTTCT